GTCTGCCCCGGCAGTCCGGGGGCCGCAGGACCAGGCCGCTCCCCCTGCACCAGCTCCATGACGATGTAAATGGGCTGCTTCTGGGTGCAGACACCGATGAGCCGGACGATGTTGGGGTGGTTGTACTGCTTGAGGATCCTGTGGGGACAAGGAAGGGCACCGTGAGCAGGGGGGGCCCGGCTGCCCAGGCACTGGTGACCTCCGTGCCATCCCCAGGACGCTCTGCTCAGACGGCCCGGGGACACAGCCCTCCGCACACAGACGCTGCAGTCCCAGGGGGTTTGAACAGCCCCGGGTCCCGAGGAAGGACAGACAGGCTGGGACAAGTGCGACGGCTGCACAGACCTGGCTTCCTGCAGGAACTTGGCCTTCAGTTCGGGCGGGAGGGTTTCCCGGCAGGATTTCACAGCCACGGGGGTGTTGTCAGCACGCAGGCGCCCGCTGAACACCTCCCCAAAGTTACCCTGCCGAGACACACGGGTGCACTGGCCCAGCTTGCTGCGGGGTGGCCCAAGGCAACCCCTGCCCTCCCGCAGGCCCCCTGGGATGACCCTGCCCTCCCGCAGACCCTGCGCAGGCAGGGATCGGAGCACCCCAACTCACCCGGCCGATGCGCTCCCCCAGCAGCACGTCCTCGTGGTTGAGCACCCATTTGTCCTGCAGCGAGAGGACCCCGAAGGCGGTGAGCCATCACCCAGCCCCCCCAGGCCCAAATACCCCCTGCCCCTGCAGCTCCTTCTCAGGCAGCCTCGGATGGGGGTTCCCAGACCCCGGCCCCCCACCCCCAGGGCTGGGTGGCCACATCTGGCTGGAGGACCATGCTTGGGGCTCCCAGCCCAGCCGTGGGCAGGAGAAGGGGCCGGGCAGGGCTGCCCCGTGCACAGGGGCTTCGTCTCCCTCCCCACTGCCCGCTCTCACCTTGGGCACGGCCCTGGCCAGGATGATCCCACTTTTCCGGGTGATGGGCTGCTGGCTCTGCAGGAGGTGCTCGATGAGCAGTGGGATGGTGGGGAAGCCCTCCCCCTCCAGCCGGTACATGTTCTGTGGGGAGGGGAGGCTGAGGGGTCGTGCCTGCACACACGCGTGGGTGAGGACGCACACGGCGCGGGACATGCACGCACAGCGGGCAGGGTGGGTGTGCACAGTGGGAGTTCACAAGCACAATGTGGGGCTCACACCCCGCGCTTTGCCTGTGCAAGGATGAGCACACTCAATCTGTACTGTACACACGCGTCCCATGCACTCACACCTGG